AGGCTCCGGATAGGTGTCAGTTGCTTTTATCAGGATGCTGCAAAATTAGATCGGTGCAGCACAGAGAAAAAGGGTAGAATGCGGGATTTGGTTGTCTTTAAACACCTCAGCCAACGTTTAACGTCGTTAGTCTACACAACACCGAAACCAATCGCTGCACTTTAACTAAATCCTTGCATTCTTCGTTTGGTTCTCGGTCAAAGCTCTGATCCACATAGTCAACCCCAGTTATTTTACAGCTGCATCATTTTTAAACAAATTATCGAAAAAGTGTACAATTGGTAAAGTAAGTTACGTACAGATTCTGCTTACACACCTTGCACCACAGAAATTACATTCCACAGACATCTTTTGATTAACTGTTAGGCCATTATCGCCCATCCAGTTCCATAACTCTTGAATAAATACAAAAAAACAATAATTCAGATCTACATTGCACTGATGCCAATAAAGCCATATCGTGGTAGTAGTACAAGATGGAAGGGTTACGTCACCTATGAACACAACCAGTTTACTGTAAAAACCGGGGCCAACGATGTTACGAAGCTTCCTCAAAAAAGAATCAATAAATGATCTGGTGATTTATGGCCGGGGTTATGTAGAGATTACCAGTGCGCATGCTGCAATATACCGGTAGGCAACTAGATTAGCATTCCAAGACGAGACACTGTACATCGTCTTCATATAACTTAAACCTTTCTGAAAGTTTAGCTCACCAGCAAAAATTGATCCACCTAATTATATCAACACCGCCACCATGAGACAACTCTCCCAGAAAAGTCAAAGTGGTAACAAACGAACGTTTTTCGTGGTAACGTGGTAACAAACTTTTTTCAAACCGAAGATGTTCGATCGGTTATACGTGAAATATAGCCAAGTTTCCTGTAATAGAATAGCCCAAGCATTGCTGAACACAGCATGGCAAAGAAGCGCCTTAACCTCGCTGAACTTCAGCAAGACAGTGCAGTAATTTCAGGGAATTATCGCTTGGAAACGCATGTTTTGGCGGAGGATGTTTCTTGCAGCAGTTTGCCATCCATCTCTTTTACAACGTGTTGACCTGGTATCTGCGAAAGCAACTGAACAACCAACCGCATAGACAAATGCTGCGTATCTGCTTGATTAAAAAGTTTTGAACATCGAACCTCGATATCACCTATAGCGATACCGTGAGGACCATCACAGAAGTGTTTCATACCATTCCACTACCCTAACTATTGGTGTTTTCGAAATCTGATTTTCGAAGGCACAAAAACTGCCTTCTAGAGTATCGAAAAATCTATCACAAATCAGTACCACAGGCTCAGAGCAGGATAACCATTTGGGCGAACTAATTACGATTTATAGGGGTCCTCCTTTGACGGCAGTTACCCAGAGAGAAACAGTTAGAAGAACTACAATATGCCAGTAAGTCTATCAAAACGCTACTGGACTTCCAGCTGGTCTGGAAATAATGAACTGAACTAAAATGGATGTACCACCTAGAACATAACCAGCAAATATACTCATTTAAGCTCTGTTTTAAGCCCGATGATCTACGGATTGAGCAGGCCATGATTTATCAAAGAATAAAGCAAAAATAAACCCACCGTAATGAATGTGCTTACTGCCTAGCTGTCGAATTTAGGCTCGAATTGATTGCTTCCAACGTTATTCATAACAGAAAAAAGAAAGGTTTATGGCGATTCATAACATCTGTAGTAGGAATTTTGCACTAGTCCACATCAGATCGGTAAAGGGACTGATTCTGTATGAAGATTAACCTTGTACTTAATATAGCTCGCCAAATACTATTTCATCAAATATATGCTTGCAACAATAATGTGATGGACACCAATTGGATATTGTATTGGACCCCGAACCGAAGCACACAAATGTCAGACTCTACAATCGCTTGCAACACAAGCCAAACGAGTGCAAGATCAAAGCAGACATGAAACAGGAAAACGACAGCAGAAAAATGACATTAAAAAAATACATGAAAATAAAACAATCGGTTAAGAATGAAAACGGTTGAGTCCGACAAAAGTGCTTTTGAGAAAAATCTAGAATTTGCTAGAAAACTCTACAGGAAAATCTAGCAGTAGCGTCAAAAATATAGCATTAATAGCTGGGAACAGTAATCCGTGCAGTTATTATAAATGAAGAAAAGGAAGAGCATGACTTTTAAAATTTTCAAAAATCGGACGTGGAGAAACCTCCGGTCAATGACTGAAGTTGCAAAGCTGTGGTCTAACAATAAATATTGCAAGTCTGAATCTTAGACACAACGAAAATGCGAAATTCGATTGAATAAGCACCGTAACCCATGTATGTCACACCATTATTATCATGTTCGTTCCGTTCCATATCATCAAAGTTGCCGTCTTATTCTATTGCTGTTTCTTCCCGTTCTTCCTCCTCTACATTCACATTCTGATTCTGAACTTCCTCACTTGTTCTTGCTGAGTTTAACTTAGCGATCTTACGATATCTCCTCAATTTCCGAGAAAGTTGATGGAAAATGACAAGCTGCAAAAACTAAAAAGGCAAGTAAATGCGATTCAGTCGGTAAGGATTCAAAAGAATCAAAATTTTCTGGCAAGCAGTCTGAGGGCCGCAAGGTGTAAGATCAGGTACCGCATGAGATGTGAAGAATTAGAGTCGGCGGGAAAGCTTCTAAATCGTGAACAAAAAGACCAGTCAGAGAGACAGTCAGTCAGTTTCCAGTATCACTTATCCTTTTGGAT